CAGCCAAAGCAGGTCCCTTTGATCTAAATAAAAACTGATTGAACATGAACATTAAAAGGATTAAACACTGAACTCTTAAACAGTTATAATTTTAAAATGCATAAAGCACTCTGGGCTTCCTTAATTTCTGTAGACAGGGTTGTGGAGGTCCATACCCACTAGTTAGGCAACTTCTTCCTTGAAATCATTCAGTATTTTCATTTAGCTGTAAACCACTAAGCTTTATCAAAGTCTCATGGCCTTTGCCAGATGCCACAGCACAATTTATTAGGCTGGATACATGCAGCAGTGATTATAAGAAGAGGCTTTAACGGATTTAAAAATTACATTGAAAATACAGATGGAGGCACTAGGTAAGCAAAGCTGTATTAGCTAGCTGCTGTTGCTGCTCCTGCATGCAAATAAATACTGGGCATGTCTACACATTCATTAATGCTCCTTTGGTAATGCGCATTAAATTTAGTACTTCCATTGTGAGGTACTAGAAAAAGGTGCATTAGCCTATTTAAATGCACATTGGTGAAAGTGGACGGTTTTTCTGTGACTTTTTAATGAGCATTAAAATAGACTAATGTGCATTCAAGTAAATGTGTAGATACACCCACTGTAACCTATTGATCGCGCTGCACAAGGATTTGTTCATCACCCCCAACTTTCCACCATGGACTTAAAGTGGCTCTAGATAGAACTGCCAGAGTGGGAAGGAGCTACCAGCTGATGCTCATTGAGTTTATTTTGTGAGTAGCCCTTTAGCTCAGTTGGTTAGAACATTCTGCTAATAACACCAAGGTTGCAGGCTATTCCCCAGTGGGACTAGATGATCCTTTCAGCTTTATTTTTCTATGAAACTTATTAGATACAGCAAGTGAAACAGGAAAAAGATGTGAACCATAAGTTTTGATGCTGCAGCCACACTGAGCCCAGGCTTCAGCCTGCTGTTGCCTCACTTCCGCAACAAATATAATTCCAGTATAATAAATGCCTTTGTCTGTCTGTCTGTCTGTCTGTCTGTCACACTCCAGGCCAACTACACATATGCTGCCCATAGGGCAGGCGGTGACTGGCTGGCTCAGAACATTACAGATAGATGGACAGGAGGAGGCAGAGGCAGTTGGGGGCCAGGGAGCAGGCCAGGCAGTTGGGGGCACAGCACGGTGTGGCATGCTGTCTGCTGAGGGATGTTCCGTCCCATAGGGCTCTCCCTGCTGTGGCGCATTGCCTGCCGCAGGGCACATCTCGCTCTCTGCTGCAGGCTGTGTCCGTGTGGTACACTGCCTGCCACCAGGCGCAGCACGCTGCCTGCAGTTGGGTGTGGCTGTGTGGCGTGCTGCTGCAAGGCACTGCTGCGTGGCGTGGCAAACTGCACTGCACCTGCTCCCCTTCCAACCACCTTCTGCTCCCTGCCATCTGTTCTTGGGAGGTGCGGTGCGGCGCACCCCCGGACCACAGCCAGTAGCAGCAGGAGGGGGGGAGGAGGGAAGGGGGGAAGG